GCTAGCCGCCCCGGCGGAAGGAAGAGGGGCTGTGACCGCGCGCCGCGCCCGACCTCGCGCCTACAGGGCCCGCGCCCCGGGTCTGCGGCGCCACCTGCTGGGCATCGAGGCGCTCACCGCAGCTGCCCGTCCGTCCTTTCCCAAGGACGTGGGACGGCCTGCAGGACGAGGTCCTTGACTCGTCCAGGGGCTCTTAGTTCATGCAGTCGTTTCCTTCACGTTTATGTGCCTGGCTCCCCCGAGCTGGGCGCTGGAGACATCCAACTGCATAAGACCAGGTCAGTCTGACAGATTAGAAAACCAACAAGCCATGACAGGCAACACAGTTCAACGCCCGCTGGACAATAGGCCAGTTTGCTCAGTGCTGTGAAGGCGGTCTGAGAGCCATGGGAGCCAGTGGGCCAGGAGAGAGGGCACTTGGGCTGGATCTAGAAGGGACAGAAAAACCCAGAGAGAATCGGCATGGCTGTCATCTCCCCGGTCAGGCCAACCTGGGCACCTGGGGCTGTACTTGCTGGGGGGAGAGTCAGAGACTGTGTATGTGGGAGTGACAGCATTCAGGTAAACAGCTGGAAAAGCAGGCACCTGAACTATCCCATGGAGTGGAAAAATCATGGGCTTTGGAGTCGGAGAGTGAAGGACAGTTCTCCTTGTTGCTTTGGGCCTACCCGGTTCTCTTTCTAGCTTGTAGTTCTCAAGAATAACTGTAGAATGTGCTGAGAGTGCAGTCCTGAGATAAGGGGGGACTGGCCGGAACAGCTGGGCTCTGTTCCAGCCCTTCCTAGAAACAGGATGTCCTACAATGCTTTATCCCTACAGGTCACGTGGCCCCAGGGTATAAAACTCAAGCGCAGTCTGGTTTCCGGGGTCCCTCAGCTACAGTGCAAGTGGGGCATGTGCAGATGAGACTCCATCTGCCCGGGCAGCTTTTCTGAGACCTGGGGAACCTGCTTGCAATGAATCCTAGGCTTCCTCCTTGCTGCCTAGCTGTAAGTAATAAACCCACTTCACGTAACTTTTTGTGTGTGGGTGTTCTGCCTCAACGGTCTCGGACAAGTTGGTAACCAGTGCACAGTGAATCTGCTTCACAGATGGCTGTGTTCTAATCCTAGATATGTGACCTTGGACAAGACCCTGAACCTCTCCAAGTTTCTGTTTCATCATTTGTGAAGTACAGCCAGCACCTACTTGGTTAGGGTTGTTGGGAAGATTTCAAGAGAAAATGAATGTGAAAGCACCTAAGCATAATGCCTGGCACTTAGAGTATCCTGAACATATGTTCATTTCTTAAAAAGAAAAAAGGGGCAACAAATCAACAGAGTAACCATTACTCTTTCAGAGGGAGAGAAGAAATCTAAGGTTATCTGCGGTGGGAGAGGGTAGGGAGAGGGGAATAGGGAGAGATTGCACAAGGGGCATAAAGAATAAGTACAATTTAGGGGCCAGCCCATGGCTCACTTGGGAGAGCACGGTGCTGATAACACCAAGTCAAGGGGTAAGATCCTCTTACCGGTCATCTTTAAAAAAAAAAAATAATAATAAGTACAATTTGTAACAACATACATACTAGTAATATTGATTTGATCAACATATGTCAACATTGAATCCCCAAAATATGTATAACCAATTATGATTCAATAAAAAAATTTAAAAAAGAGGGGCTGCTCCTCCTGGCAGGCATACTGGCAGGTAAGGGTTGCAGGCAGGAGGAAAGTTTCTGTCTCCAAGAACTGGGAACCTGTGTTCCTTTTGGAACCCAGCTGTTTTTTATTTCTTAGGTCAAGCTACAGCCTGCTTTTATCTGGCCCTGCCCATCAGGGAAGCCCCAGGTTCATCCATCAAAAAAATAAAAAATAAAGATTGGGTTGGTTGGGAGGATGAGGGAATAAAGGAATAGGAGCTGATAAAGGGAAAGGGGTTTTTTTTTTTTTTGAGGTGATGACAGTGTTTAAAATTGGTGATGGTTGCACATCTGTGAATATACCAAAAGCCATTGAATTGTACATTATTTTTAAAAGGCCGGCCAATTAGTTCAGTTGGTTAGAGTGCAGTGTTGATAACACCAAGGTCAAGGGTTTGGATCCCCATACTGGCCAGCCACCTAAAAAAAACAAAATAAATGTGTGAACTGGATGATATGTGAATTATATCTTAATAGAGCTGTTACAAAACAAAAAAACTTCTTGCTGGGCTAATCTAGCAACAATGTAAAAAAGAATTATAAGTGAGTATAGCCTAAAAAAACAAATTGGGTTGGTATCGCAAAGAGATGGGGTACAAAGGGATGGCCCATGGCTCACTCGGGAGAGCGTGGTGCTGACAACACTAAGTCAAGGGTTAAGATCCCCTTACCAGTCATCTTTAAAAGAGAGATGGGGTGCGAGTTAAATTTAGACATCAAAGAGCTTAGCACCATCATTGACAAGGCCTAGGAGGTCTGAAAGTGCTCATTTCCCTTCAGTCTCTTCCTTTCTCCATCCTTTAATAGCTGCCAAGAAAGCACACCAGCAAGAGACCAGCCAAAGAAAACAGAGAAGCTCTTTATGCCAAATCACAAAGACAGACAAGGGGGGTATGGCGGAGGAGCAGGAGTGGGGCCTGGGCCCCTTTCATTCACAGATTTAGATGTTGTTCCATCTGCTCTCGAAGTTTGAATTTCTGGACCTAGAGGAAAGACAAAGGAGTAAGAGCCAGGCTTGGGGCCTCTACCAACTGGGTTGACCAACCATCTTGGTTTGCCTGGGACTGAGGGGTTTCGCAGGCTTCATTGCTGGGGGAGCATAGAAGGGGGCCCCTGGCTTCTGTACCTGGGCCCTCAAACCCTAGGCTGCCCTGCCCTCCCCAGCTTCCTCCACCTTACACACCTTTCCTGAGACGGTGAGGGGGTAGTCTGTGACAAACACGATGTAGCGGGGAATCTTGAAGTGGGAGATCTGCAGACCAGAGGCAGGTAAAACATGAGGCTGGGCAAGGTCACAGGGTTGGGGGTAGGGGACAGAGGGCTTTGCTGGGCAGAGCGGGTGGCCAGGTTCATCAAGGGAAGAGCAACCCCCGGCCGTAGCTGAATTGCAGGGAGAGGGGTGGAGAACCGAGCACCATCAGCTTGGGGTGGGCTGAGACTCCCACCTTCCCTTTGCAGAAAGCTTTGATCTCCTCTGCTGTGGTCTTCTCCCCATCCTTCAGCCGGATGCAGGCACAAATTTCCTCCCCCATCCGGTCATCCTTCACTCCCACCACCTTCCAGGGTCAGAGACAAATATTAGACATCACTGTCTTCATGCATGTTTTCTGCTCCTGGGCTCACCTGGGCTGGGCACCTCACCTGTACTTCCTGCACCTGCGGGTGTTTGTGAAAGAAGTCCTCGAGCTCTGCAGGGTAGATGTTCTCACCACCCCGGATGATCATATCCTTGGAGCGGCCCACGATCTTACAGAAGCCCTGCTTGTCCATGGTGGCAATGTCTCTGTAAGGAAAGCCCAGGAATGGCCTCTCACCTCTGCTTCACCCGGCTGGCTCGTTCACTTACTCATCAAGCATTTATCGAGCACCTATGTGTGTCTTCCACTGCTCTAGGCTTGGGAGACACAGCAGGAACATGACACGCTCCTTAGAACTTATAGTCTAGTGGGGAAGACAAACAAATAAACCAATACCTATGACATATTCTCTCTCTCTCTCTCTAAACATATGCTTTTCATCATTCGGGTCTTAGCTTAAATAATTCCCAAAGTCTTCTCTAACCACCCAATTTATTTTATTTTATTTTATTTTTTTTGGTGGCTGGCCAGTACAGGGATCTGAACTCTTGACCTTGGTGTTATAACACTGCACTCTAACCACCTGAGAACTAACTGGCCAGCCTTGACCACCCAATTTAAGGGAAGCTAACCTCCCCCCCACACCACTTTCTCTCCTATAACCCTATTTTATTTTCTTGGTGGTATTTATCGATGTCTGAAATTATCTGTCTTCCTCCACCAGAGGCGTGGACAGTAAAAGCAGAATCCTGATCTTACTCTCCGTTGCTCACCAGCGTCTAGAACAATGCTGGTGCATAGGAGGCGTGTATTAAGAATTTGCTGGGCTAATGAATGAGTGACTGGATCTGGGCTCAGATTTTGCAGATGCTGGTGTGGTGCACTGTACTAGTAGCTTGCCTCCATGCTACCGATGATTACCCCTATTGTACACATTTTAGAAATTAAGTCTCCAGGATGTGAGGGGCATTTTGGTGCCCATGCCCTCCCTGCACTAGTCTAATGTTCCCTGCTCACCCTCAGGACCCCCAGCCTCTCAGCAACCGGAGCCTGTCTTCTCACCCTGTGCGATACCACTTGTCATGACTGACTGCCTCCTCCGTCTTCTGAGGCTCATCCCAGTAGCCTAGCATGACGCAGTACCCTCGGATGTACAGCTCTCCGGGAGTGTTCAGCTCCAACAGTGTCCCCGTCTCCGTGTTCACAATCTGGGCCTGGGATAGGACAGCTTTGGGCAGGGGCCTCCTACCCTCTTGCTTCAGGATGTGTGGCCCGGGGAGATGGGGTCAGCTTTGCCCTCCCTCCACCTAATCATCAGGCCCCCTGGCTCTGCCCAGCCCAGTCCAGGGAAGGGACACGAAGGCGACAGTAGACCCATTACTAGTCAGAGACCAGAGCTGGCCATAAAAGAATAGTTGAGGCCCAGGTTGGGGGTGCTGCAGAGAAGGAGGCCTGTGAAGTGCCAGGCCAGCTGAAGAATTATCAACTACAGAAGAGAAGGGAGTCTCTTCTTTCTTGCCCTTAAGCAGCAATAAAGCCAAAGAGGGTGGCATGGCAGTGCCATGTGAACAGGAGAAGCAGAGTCTGAAAGCCTAGTAGAGAAATGAGCCACAACCAAGATGCCAAGGAAAGCTGAACCTCTGTGTGCCCTGGTGTCTGAATCTGTGAAATGGGGAGGATTATGCCTGCCCCTGTCTACTTTCCAGGCCGGCATCCCAGTGAGAGTGGCAGGGAAGCTGTCATCAGACACATGGGAGGGGGCTCACATCCCTGCACGCTCACTCTGTGCAGGACCACTCCAGGGGGGGAGGAAAGGGGAAACCCACACCAGGACAGCAGTAAGCCCTAGAGAAAGCAGCTGCTTCAGCACACTGGCAGCGAGCTAAGGGGACAGGAGAAACCAGGTGCCATTGGCACAAAACACCAGTGTTGGGGCAGGAAAGGAGTCATGGCCGAGAATCTGAGATTGAGTTGTGCTCGGGAGTAGTTTTTGAGATGCAAGGGACCCCCAAAGGGACAGGCTCCATGGGAAATTAAGTGTTTACTCCAAGCAAAAAGAGGAACTCTGCGCAGCAAGAGGCAGGGGGCCTAGGGGGAGAAAGAGCTGTGTAGGAAAAATGTCTGTGTTCTGGCTGCTCTTTGAGGCTGCCCTGGCTGCCCCAAAACAGACAGTGGGCTTGGCAAAAACACACCTCAGACAGGAAGGGAGGCTGCGGAGAAGTTCAGCTGGCGGCTGCTCATGGCCGCAGTCCCAGTTCTTCCCCTTTCATGCTCCAGCCCACAGAGAAAGCCCCACGCAGGCCCAGGCCCCTGCTGCTGGGGGGCTCTCGGCATCTTGAGTGAGCTGCCTCAATCTCTAAATGAAGGCAATAAGTGTCCCCGGGGGGGATGCGCCCCAGTTGAGTGGTGGGAGCTGGGGTCTTGGTCAGGGGCTCACCTCTGTGTGAGGCATGATTCTGCCCACACTTTCTGCCTTCTGCTCCAGAGTGTCCTCAGGGAAGCTCATGAAGGTCACAGGGCTGTTCTCTGTGGTTCCATAAGCAACCTAGAAGGTTCAGAAAGGGTGTTCAGAGGGAGCTCAGCAACTGCAGACGGATGGGGGGAGCTACTCTGGGGGAATGGGAAGGAATTCATAAGAGAAAGGGAAAAGTGGAGGGCAGCCGAATGGGGGCAACAGGGACACCATTGATAGGGGTCAGGGGTCAGGAGGCAGAGGCGCGGGGAGGTTGAGCAGATAGATCTCTGCAGGGGCCCCAGATCTGAAATAAAATCGACAGCAGGGAAGCCATTCTCTTCTAGCCAGGGCTCTCTCAGTCTCCTGCTTCCTAGAGCAGCTGCTGTCCGTTCCCGTGGCTCCCCACATTACTAACACCCCAGCCTTCCCTCCCTCATCCCCAGGCTGCCTTAGCCCCACCTTCCTGATTTTAGGCCACAGTATTCTCTGCCCTTCCCTTCCAAGCCTAAGGCCCAATAAACTTGATGAGAAAGCCAGCCTGCCTTGGCCTAGCTGGGAGTGGCACAGACACAACCCCCCAACCCCACCCGAAACCTGGGACAAGTGCCTGGCCTTGGGATGGGTCCCCCCTCCCAAGCCCCCCAAGCTCTGGAGAGTTTCCAGTGAATTTATTTCCATCAAAACAAACATACAGCCAAAACAGAGATTTAAAAAGCCAGTGGCCCTCCCACCCCCCACTTTCAGTGGTTGGAAACATCCTGAGCAACAGACAAACCAGAAGCCAGACTTGGAGGGGACTAAAAACCATCAGGGAAGGGCCGGCCCGTGGCTCACTCCGGAGAGCGTGGTGCTGATAACACCAAGTCAGGAGTTAAGATCCCCTTACCAGTCATCTTTTTGAGAGAAAAAAAAAAAAAAAAAACCATCAGGGAAGGTTCTAGACCAAGTATGACCCCCATTCTAGAGTCAAGGGGCAGAAGGACTTGGTGGGCAGGCCCTGGAGAACAGGCCTCCCCACCTGGGTACTGGGTGAAGGGAGAGGATCTTTGTCCTCCCTCACACACAACTTGTCCTGTGTCAGCTGGTGTGGCTCTGGCACAGCTGAGATTTGGTCTGGTTTCTCTCCCCACCCCTGAACATGAATAATACCCTGTGCCAGGCAGCCGGGAGCTCACCCTGGGGCCAGAGCCGTGACCCTGCCTGCTCACCCTCTCCTTTCCACAGGAATCTGGGCACATTGGCCAGCAAGTGGGCACACAGAGGTTTGGCGGGCTGGGGTGGAGCTGCCCACAGAACGTAGGATCTGGCAGCGGGAGCCATCCAGGGCTGGTCCCTTATAGCCAGGACCAGCCCCCCTCACAGTCCTCACAGTCCTGGGGCCACTGCCCTAGTGTGGTCCATGCCGAGTACAATTCGGTGCCACTCGGCCACCACCCTAAGACCCCTCAAGGGCAGGCCCTGACCACTGGGGTTAGGAATTAATAGCCAGGACCAGCCCCCCTCACAGTCCTCACAGTCCTGGGGCCACTGCCCTAGTGTGGCCCATGCCGAGTACAATTCGGTACCACTCGGCCACCACCCTAAGACCCCTCAAGGGCAGGCCCTGACCACTGGGGTTAGGAATTAGGGGATGAGGATATTTTGGGGAAATTAAGGAGGGAGGATGGTAAGACTGTGTTTGTTCGGTGGCCTATAGTCTTCAGGTGTGTTTGCCAGCCCTGGGGTCACTTCCCCCACAGTTCCCACTGTTCTGCTTCACCTTCAGCGGTGGGAAAAGGGGATGGGGGTGCAGGGACAGAAACGCAAGCCCAGGGTTGAGAGAGAAGGACCAAAGCCGAGCCCGAGGGTGCAGGAGCCCCCATCTCCCTAGGGTCGGCTCTGGCGTGTCTCGCCGGAAGGGGGAGCCCGACGCCAGAGCGGCTCTCACGCTCGGCCGGCGCCGCACAAGAGCCCCATTAAAGCGCCGCGGGCTGGCCGACCGCGGCGAGACAAGCGTCCGGCTGTCCGGCTCCGCTTCCTCCCTCCCCGGGTCCAGGGCACCCAGCCGAGTGCATATGGGGGGAGGCGTGGAGGCTCAAACTCGGGCAAACAAGTAAATTCAGGGCATGTCTCTCCCTCTCTCCGGTGTAAACTCGGGGCTCTAGACACACCCATTACCCTTCACCCCAAGAAAAGCCTGGGAAAGGGAGGCAGGGAGAGAAGCAGCGTCTGAGAGCAGCCACGGTCGCGGGCCCCCGTGCACGGTCACCAGCGAGGGGAGGGCGGGGGCGCATCTCTGGGTGCGAGGGAGTTAAGCCTGGTGGCCTCGATGCTCCACGTAGGAGCTGGCTCGGGTCGCCCGCTGCGGTCAGGGCCACTGTATAAATAGGGCGGGAGACCCGAGCGCCGAGGACTTGCCGCTGCCCCCGCCCCCCCGCCGTCGCCGCCGCTGCCCCAGCCGCGGCCCCAGGCGTCCCGGCCATGGCCCGCCCGATGCTCTTGCTCAGCCTCGGCCTCCTGGCCGGTCTGCTGCCGGCGCTGGCCGCCTGCCCCCAGAACTGCCACTGCCACAGCGACCTGCAGCACGTCATCTGCGACAAGGTGGGGCTGCAGAAGATCCCCAAGGTGTCCGAGAAGACCAAGCTGCTCAACCTACAGCGCAACAACTTCCCGGTGCTGGCGGCCAACTCGTTCCGGGCCATGCCCAACCTCGTGTCGCTGCACCTGCAGCACTGCCAGATCCGCGAGGTGGCCGCCGGAGCCTTCCGCGGCCTCAAGCAGCTCATCTACCTGTACCTGTCCCACAACGACATCCGCGTACTGCGCGCTGGCGCCTTCGACGACCTGACCGAGCTCACCTACCTCTACCTAGACCACAACAAGGTGACGGAGCTGCCCCGGGGGCTGCTCTCCCCGCTGGTTAACCTCTTCATCTTGCAACTCAATAACAACAAGATCCGTGAGCTGCGCGCAGGCGCCTTCCAGGGCGCCAAGGACCTGCGCTGGCTCTACTTGTCCGAAAACACGCTCAGTTCCCTGCAGCCCGGTGCCCTGGACGACGTGGAGAACCTCGCCAAGTTCCACCTGGACAGGAACCAGCTGTCCAGCTACCCCTCCGCGGCTCTGAGCAAGCTGCGGGTGGTGGAGGAACTGAAGTTGTCTCACAACCCTCTGAAAAGCATCCCGGACAATGCCTTCCAATCCTTCGGAAGATACCTGGAGACCCTCTGGCTGGACAACACCAACCTGGAAAAGGTGAGATCCTGGCTGCAGGGCTCTGCCCTGGCGCCTTCTCCCCTTCCTGGAGGCTCTGGGAGGCAGGACCACAGCTGGGCACCATCCCCTCTCCCCAAATTCCTTGTCCCTCTGGCTGTCTCCAAGGTGGGGAGTTCTGTCACCTCTGTTCATCTTGTCACCTCCCTACACCTATCCCTGCCTGGCCGCCTGTCTCAGCCACTGCCCTCATAGGATTACGACTTATAAAAGAAGCAGGGGCTGTCCTGGCCCCACAAATGGCCCCCTAGGAGGCATTTCCAGTGCTCCCAAATCCCCCACTGTGACAGCAGCCACCTCTTCGTGTTGGGCCTTCTGCCCCTCCTCTGCTGTTTTTTCCGTCTCCAGTAAAACTACCATCCCATAAAGGAAGGTTTGTTTATTGAGGAGCCTTCCAGGAGCTGGGCAAATCAGGCCCACAAAGAGACCCTGTTTCTGGTGGGGGCTGTGCATGTGTGCTAAGGTGGAGTGGGGGGCTGGGAAGTGACGGGGAGCAAATACCTAAGGAACCTCCTCCACACCCCACAGAGGCCCCGGAAGATGGCCTCACTCGGCCCCCACACACATACTAAGTCACTGCATTCCCAGGTCCACTTCAACTGTGTAGGTAAGTCAAGCCATGGGGACCAAGGGCTCCCCTAGGCTGCAGGCATGGTGCCCAGGGGTTCTGTGAAAAGGCACAGGCAAGAGCATCACTGTTGTCCCTTGGCCTAAGACCCCAGGTGTCTCCCCCCAGGGCAGACTGGCTGTGCCTTACTGTCTCCCAGGCTGCTGACTGCCCTTTGCACACCCCAGGCACCAGTCTGCATCCTCACTCAGTCCTTCTCCTGGATGCCCAGTGTCTGGCCAGGTGGGGCTGCCTTGGGCCTGAATGTGTCCCTTCTCTGGGACTGGAAAATCACCCTGGTACAGAGGCTTCAGCCAGGAGGTTTGGGTGGGGACCCAGACAAGGTAGAAGACATTCTGGTTAGTAGGGAACTTCAGACCCCAACCTGGGCCACAGGAGAGGGTGCTGGGATGGAGATGAGGGCAGAATCCTACCTGGGCAGCAGCCAACCTTTGTCTTAATGAATGGAGCCTGCCATTCTTCAGCCCCGGCCCCTCCCTAGCTAAAGTCGGAGTCCCCTGGTACCCACAAGCACCAGAGTGGTCTTTCAGTGGGCAGCAGAGCAGCGTATCAGGGGCCGCTTTGGGGCAGGAGAGGACAGACAGGAACTGTGGCGCCTGGGCCAAGATGTGGGCATCAATAGAACATTTCCTCTGGAGCCATCCAACCTGGCCAACGTCTCCACCGAGGTGGCTCCACAAATAGGCAGGCAGTGAGGGAACAGTGAGGACAGAGCTGGGGGAAGTCCCAGGACCCTGGGGCTGTGGGGAGCCCGGGCCCACTGCCCACCCCGCTGAACACTGACCAAGCTCACCGTGTGCCAGCTTGGGCTGCTGGGGCCAAACTCTGGCTGCCTCCCCAATCCCAGTGTTTGTGCAGAGAGGGTGGTGCCAGGGGAAGAGGAGCGGGGTGTGGTCCTGCGGCTACTGTTTTACTCACTAGTGTGACCCCGGGCAAAGCACTGAACTTTTTCTATTTTCCCATCTTCATATTGGAAATAACACCACCTATCTCAAAAGATGTTGTGTGGATTAGATCAGGTGAAACAACTTGGTCACATAGCTATGAAAACTGAAATTTCTCAAGGTGCCATTGCTCATGTCCAGGGAAGGACCCTGACCTCTGGGGTGACTGAGCTGGGAGAGGCTAGACACTGGGGCTGGGGTGCTCACTCATGCCACTTTGCTCCCCAGTTCTCCGACAATGCCTTCCTGGGTGTGACCATGCTGAAACACGTCCATCTGGAGAACAACCGGCTGAACCAGTTGCCCTCCAACTTCCCCTTTGACAACCTGGAGACCCTCACCCTCACCAACAACTCCTGGAAGTGCACCTGCCAGCTCCGGAGCCTTCGGCGGTGAGAACACCCCATGTCACCCCCTGAGTCCCCCTCATGTGATAGAGTGGAGACACACTGGCCCTGCACCAAAACATCCTGGACATACATTCTAGATCTGCTGTTTCATAGGCATAGGATCCTGGGAGCCTCAGTTTCCCCATTTGTAAAATGAAGATGACAGCTCCAGACTATCCTGGGGCCAAGTCAATCTTGGCTCCATAGTTTACTGTCCCTTCCCCCACCAGTCCCACATCTTGTCCCCAACACCAGCAACTCTCTGTCTCTCTCCAGGTGGCTGGAAGCCAAAGCCTCCCGCCCAGATGCCATCTGCACCTCGCCTGCCAAGTTCAGGGGCCAGCACATCCGTGACACAGAAGCCTTCCGCAGCTGCAAGTTCCCCACCAAGAGATCCAAGAAAGCTGGCCGCCATTGAACAGGTGGGGTCCGGGGGGGGGGTAGGCCCTCCCATTCCCCTCTCTGGATATTCCAGCAAATGAGCTGGTATCTCCTGGGTTACCACCTCTACCTGGAGGGGCAGGCAGACCCTCCATTTTTGCAGGGAGTTGCGGGGAGAACTGGGTCCGCTGCCAAGGAAGGAAAAGATTCTGCCCAGGATTCCCATCATTGCCTCCAACCACCGTCTGGGTCATTGGAGTCCTAACACTGATCCTTGCCTCACTGCAGGTCCTGACCCAGCCGGTCCTGGTGACTGGCCTTTGCCTTCTGCCGGAGAGACTACTGACCTTCCTGCCTCCACCCCCACCTTCTCCCCACAGCCTCTGCTGATGCACAGAGTTGCCCACCCCTAGATACGTCCTGGCAGGGGGCCTCGAGCACTCCACTACCAACCCAGCTCCACCTGATGGTGTCCAGGGGGGGACACAGAGCCCCATCCCAGCCAGCGTGCCTGGGCTCCCCCACCACAGTTCTTCTCAGAGAAGCTGTTGCTGAGACTCCCAAGTCCATCAGAACCAGACCAGTCCAACAGGATGGCCACCCTTCCAGAACCATCCGTCCTCTGCTCCTCTTTCCCTGCCATTTGGAAGCAAACATCAGACCCTTGCCCTGCCCTTGCTTCCAGAAAGGGTCTTAAGCCCAAACCCCAGTTCTGCCAGCTCCGCACCAGGACGTTCTAGCAGGACACCTGTGCTTTGCTGCACGTCCCCCATGCTGCATTTATCCCAGATTTCTATAAATATAAATTTATGGATGTATAATACTTACTCCCCTGCCACCTATCTCCCTGACTCAGCAGGTGCTGATGAGGTCAGACTGTCTTCTCTTACATTTGCTTTCTGGAAGGAGGGTTGGCCAAGAGGGTCTCCCTTGGAGATCAGACCTGGGCTCATCCCATGCCCGTCAGTGTGCTCCCACCCACAGCTCTGGCCCCGGCCACCACTTACCACCAGCTCCTTCATATTCATCTTGTTGACGATGGCTCGGATCAGCTCTGGGGGTACAGGGGACCCAGCGATCACACCTGAATCAGAGAAAGGGATGACACTCCCCACTTCTCCAGGCCCAGTGGAGCCCTTCGCCTATGGCTTATCAAAGGGAAGAATGTTCCCTTCTCTCCCCTGACTCTGGGCTGTTCTTACACCTGCAGCTGGCCTCGGGCTGGTGTCCAGGGACACTGGGGACTTGCCTCCCTCCACCCATGTCTCTACAGTGTCCTTCTTGCCCCCTAAATAAAAGACTGGGTGCATATCTAGCTCACCCTGGCCATTCCTGGGGGAAAGCAGCCCCCTCCCCACACCTATCTGTCCTTGGCCCCACCCCACCTCCACGCATGGTCGAGATGTCGTAACTGGAGAAGTCTGGCTGGTTCAGAATGTCCACGAACATTGTGGGGGTGCCATACAGGAAGGAGCCTCTGTGTAAGGGGGGGGTATCTCAAAATTAGGCTTGGAAGTGGAGGGAACTCCTTCTCACCCACCCTGCCAGAAGCTGCAGCAAGAGTCAAGGCTGAAGCTGTGGGTAACAGGCAGGAGAAGATCTTGAGGTCCTCTCCTGGGGGTTCCCACTACCCCCATCCCCAGGTCTCCTGGCTGGGGGGAGGAGACATCTTGGAAAGGGATCAGAGCTCAGGAGTGAGGAATAGGAGGGTCTCACAGCTCTTGGGTAGCCTGTCCCCCAATGCCCACCTCTCTCTGCTGATGGCCTCCAGCGCATTCTTGCCATTGAAGACCGGGGAGGACAGGATGAGGGTGGAACCATACATCACAGACACCATTGTGCCCCCCACGGAACCCAGGCAGTGGTACAGGGGGCAGGGCAGCACCAATCGTGACTCTTCTGGCTTCTGGAGATGGGGACCAGAGGCTGTTTCTGTCATGGAGCCAGAAGCCCCAGAAGCCAGTTCCTCTAGCCAGCAAGGGCAGCCCATCAAACCCTACCTCCACCCCTGCCCAGGGGCCCAGCACCACCTCACCTTCTGATGCAGTCTCAGGCGCTCGCCTATCATGTTGGAGTTGTTGACAATGTTGTAGTGGGAGAGGGTGGCCCCTTTGGGGCTGCCTGTAGTGCCCTGTCAAGACAAGCAGGTGATGGCTGGGCCTCCTTCTCATCTCCTTCCTACCTGGGACCACTGCCTGGAGGAACACTGGACTGGGAGTCAGGAGGCCAGAATTGTGGCCTCAGATCTTTGTGTTCATTTAGTATATTTACAAAATGGTGCCAGGTGTTAGGATCCAGAAATGCAGAAGACAAGGTCTCTGTCCTCATGTCACTCATAATTTGGCTTAGAGAACTCTGCCACCCATGAGCTGCATGGGCTTGGGCAGATTCCCTCTTTGGGCTTCAGACTCCCTGTTGACTAATGAGGGACAGGCTCTACCAGTTCTGACCCTTGGCTCAGTGACTGTGCCACTGCCCAGGGAACAAGGGGGCTGAGGAGGGGGCGCGTGACAAGGACCCCAGTTGCAGATGTTTTCCAGGGCAGAGAAGACAGCTGGAGGCTAGCCTCAGGGGGGAGTTGACCCTTTGCTCAGTGACTGTGCCACTGCCCAGGGAACAAGGGGGCTGAGGAGCGGGCGCGTGAAAAGAACCCCAGTTGCAGATGTTTTCCAGGGCAGAGAAGACAGCTGGAGGCTAGCCTCAGGGGGGAGCGCTTGCTCTCCTGACCTCCTGTGCTGTCTCCCCATCCCCGGAGAAATGTCACAGGGGCAAGGGGCATGTGTCAGCTAGGCTTGGGGCCTGGAGGTTTCTGCCCTACCGAGGTGAACTGGATATTGATGGGGTCATGGCAGGACAGGAACTGCTGGGTGTGCCGGAGCTGGGCCAGATGCTGCTCTGTGCTGCCGGCCGCCACCACTTCATCCAGGAGCAGGGTCCCCGGCAAAGGGGCATCCACTGAGATGAGTGTGGTCAGCTCTGGGAGCCTGGGGGGAAGGAGGATGGTGAGAGGTGGGGCTAGGTTGGGGCTGAGGGAGTCAGGGATGCTACATGATACACCCCCAGCCCGGGACACACCCACCTCTGACTCTTCAAGGCCCCTGGCTGGGCTGTCTCCAGCTCTGGACAGATCTGCTTCAGGATGCTGTAGTATTGCTGGGTCTTGAATTGCTTGGGGAACACCAGGGCTTTGCAGCCCACCTGTGGAAGGATAGCCCCCCACCTGTGATCAGCAGGAAGCCACAGACAGATGGGGGCCCAGGGTGGGTCCTCACTAATCAGTTGCTCTCTCATACACATGCACCACACTCCAAGACAAATACCCACATGTACCAGCCCGGGACATCCACACACCACACCCTGAGACATATATGCAACACTCTGCATGTTACCCACTCATGCATGCCCTCCTGTATCCCCTGTCAACCTCTATGATGACTGGAAATGCCTATGCCAAGCACCAGCTGGGCCCCTCCCCTAGGAATGGGTCCTACCTTCTTGAGGACATACTCTAGTTCCATAGACTGGTAGGCTGGGTTCACAGACACCTGGTGGATGTGGAGAGGGTACGATAGTGTCTTGGGCAGACCCTGCCCTTCCTGCTGCCCCACCCCTCTTATGAGGCACAGAGGCAGCACCCTCCCCCCTCCTCCCAGGCCTCCTCGGTGGGCCTAAAGAGAAAGCACTACCTGGCCTGAAACCAGCCAGGCACTGGTTTGGTTCTGGGGCCAAGGGGCTGGGGGGCTCCCCTTGAATGATGACCCCCTCACATGCGCAGCTTGCCAGGCAAGCCCCTCCTTACCAGAATGATGCCCGCCTGGGCGGTGGCCAACTGTATGAGCACCCATGCATAGGAGTTGGGTCCCCACATGCCCAGCCGGTCACCCTTGCGGAGGCCAATGCTCAGGAGGCCAGAAGCGGCTTTGTCCACCTGGTGTAAATACATGGGGCACAAAGGGTGAGATGGGCAAGCAGGAAGGGGCCCGAGACTCCCACCCTAGGCCGTCTGCTCAGGGTTCACATTCACATCAGAATCACTGGGAACAAAGGGACGGGCAGATTTCCAGGCCTCAGTGGCTCTACAGGGGAGACTGAGAGTGTGCACAGTTAACAAGGGCCCCAGGAACTGCTGATGCAGAAGGCATGTAGGCCACCTCTGCCTCAGTCCTGTCCCCATCTCTGGCCATCCCCTGCGGTTCTCAGGCAGCCCCAACACTCTGCCCCATAGCCAAGTGCCCAAGCTCCTGGATCCACCGAGCCAGGGCAGCCTGGAGGCTAGCAACCTCTCCATGTTGAGGGTTCAAGGTCAGAACTTACCTCCTCCTTGAGCTGAGCAAAGGTCAACCTGATGTTTTCTTGGAGGACAATCAAGGCCTCTTGGTCCGGGACCCTCTGTGCTGTGGCATCCAGGCATCGGCCCACAGTCTTGCTGATAAGACGCCTTCTGGTGCGGCCCTGAATGTAGCTGAGGCCTCCAATTGGCAGAGGGGCAGTGCGATCCGCCTCTTCTGAACTGTAGGGAGAGGGGCTGTGGGCTCGACTGTACTAGGCTAGGCCTCCTTGGCACCAACGGCTGGCAGGTACTGCTTGCAAAGTGTTGAGGACCACTAGGTTTACTCAGGATCTTCTTGTAAGCCTAGAACACACCTCCCCTTGACCCTTTTCCTAACTTCAAGCCTAACCCTAAGGCAACAGTTCAGGGGCAAGGTTACCCCAAGCAAGGGGCAAGAGGCCCTCCGTCACCTTTCTGGGAAAGACGAAGTGCCCCACAGAAGCCTAGGAGAGCCCACCTACACAGACAGACAGATCTTACAAAGCGTGACCATAGCTACACCTCCATCCTCTGCCTCCTGCTCACCTTTCTGGGAAAGACGAAGTGCCCCACAGAAGCCTAGGAGAGCCCACTTACACAGACAGACAGATCTTACAAAGCGTGACCATAGCTACACCTCCATCCTCTGCCTCCTGGGTTCCTTCCTGAGGAATCAATGAAGCCCATGCTTGGACCCAGAGCTGAAATCCAAGGCCTTAGGTTTCTGGGCTCCTTGGTGGGCCAGTTTCTCCTCTCTGGACCAGAATATCAAAGACAGAATAAGAAAGAAGTTTAGAAGGGCAGATGGAGGCCCTAGGAGATGCTGGGCACCTGCAGATGAAGAAGAAAGCCCCTGTGCTCTGAATGACACCAAATGGCTTGGACTCCCACTCTCAGATGATGTTGCAAACAGGCAGGTTCTGTTTCCAGGCATATAAGAGGTTGGTGCATGGCAGCCAGACAGAGAAGGCAGCCCACTTGGTAGCTGGCTCAGGTTCCAGTTTGGGGCCAGGACTTCTCACCTCTCACCTGGGGCTGCCCCTCCACCTCAGGATACAGGTGGAAACAGGTCTGGGCAGATGCCTGGACAGAAGCCTCGGCAGTCCTAGGAGCAGCAATCTTCTCTCTAGTTTTCTCCACTGGCCTTCCAGGAACTTCTGATCTCCTCCTAGCCCTACCAGGTGAGAGTGCAACTCCCCAGAGAGGGTGTGTCAAGCTGGAGGAGAACCTGTGGCTTCCGTTCCTGCTGCACTGAGCTCCTCCCCACCTCTTATTAACTGCAGAAGCCTGTGCAAGTTCCCGTTTTACTCGTTGGCTAAATGGGGATGAATACACTGCCTTGCCTATTCCATGTGGGGCATGAGGTTCAAATGTGAACAGGCTTGCAAAGGTGCTTTGGGAACGGTGCGGTGCTCTGTAACCGACAGGCATTTTAGCATCTATTCATGCATTTACTGACCATTCATTCAACACACACTCACTGAGCACCCATGTGTGCCAAGAACTGCGCTAGAACAA